TTCCGTAGCCATTTTAACTCACAGACGGTGGTGGCCATGGCTCAATATTCAGCCTCCGCCGAGGATCGAGACACCATTTTCTGTTTCTTTGTTCGCCATGAAATAGGAGACCCGCCCAAATGGATAAAGTAACCAGAGACCGAACGACGAGTAAGAGGGCAACTTGCCCAATCAGAATCACAAAACCCAACAAGTTGAAGAGGACCCGTGGCGGTGAGAACCAAACCTTGCCCAAGGCGTGCCTTAATATACCGAAGAGTATGGACTGCAGCGTCCCAATGGTCACGACGTGGGCTTGCCATGAACTGAGATAAAATGTGTACGGCGTATGTCAAGTCCGGTCGTGTGATAGTCAGGTAGATGAGACGCCCAACCAACCGTTGATAGGGAGTAGGATCCAAAAGGACTGGGCCCATTGCTAGAGCGAGGCAGTGATTTGCCGGAAGTGGGGTGGCGGCTGGACGGCAGCCCAAGTGACATGTGTCCGAGAGAATGTCGAGCACATATTTGCGTTGAGAGAGGAACAGCCCGGAGGAGTTGCGCGCGACTTCTACACCTAGAAAATATTTCAGTACGCCAAGATCCCTCATGTGAAAGCATTCTGACAAGTAGTGTTTAAAACGGGAGATAAAAGCTTCATCATTTCCAGCGAGCACCAAATCATCCACATATATGAGTGCTCGGAGTTCCACCTGGCCACACACCAAAGTAAAGAGAGAGTAGTCGGCTTTGGACTGTGTGAAGCCGTACCTGCGGAGGGCTGTGGTGAGTTTAGAGAACCAACATCTAGGTGCTTGGCGTAGGCCATAGAGGGATTTGTGCAGTCTGCAGACCATGCCTTGCCGTCTGCATGCAAAGCCCAGGGGAAGCCGCATGTATAGTTCGTCGTGGAGGTCGCCATGTAGGAAAGCGTTATGGACATCCATCTGGTGGAGGCTCCAATTTCGCACAGCTGCTACTGCCAACAGAGCCCGAACGGTCACAAGTTTGGCCGTAGGGGCGAACGTCTCTTTGTAATCAATGCCTTCTTTCTGTCAATTGCCCAAAATCACAAGTCGGGCTTTATATCTTTCAATGCTACCGTCGGACTTGTGTTTAATTTTATAGACCCATTTCGAGCCAATCGCCTTCTTGTTCGGAGGGAGTGGTACTAAAGACCAAGTGCCGTTGGCCGCCAGTGCATCTAATTCATCCTTCATTGCCATCCTCCAGTGTGGGTGTTTGACATCTTATTAGAAACTAGTGGGCTCCTTACCTGCAGTAATCGCTGCCAAAAAACTTTTCCGTGGGACTTATTTTTCAAAAGGGTAATGCTAAGGGTCTGTTCCGTGGGACTTATTTTTCTACTTATTACTTATTCTTATTAAAATTAGATCAGGTCAGATCAGATCAGACGTAATCATATCCAATCAGATCAGATCACATTCAATCTGATCAGATCAGACCTAATTAGATCAGACCAGATCCAATCAGATCAGGTCAAACCACATCAAAACCAAGAATATCAAATCAAGAAAAAGTATAAAGAATATTTATATTTTTCAAGGATTAAATAATAATTACTATTATTTTATTAAATCACATTACTTTATTTAAAGCTAGACACACCCAAATCTTAATTAATATTATAATTTCAACGATCATTATTGTTGTTATATTATTATTATTATTATTATTATTATTATATTTCAACCACAAACTATTATTTTACATAATTGCTCAGCTTGTAGGAATGATGCATAGAAGTAATAAAGCTTAAAAAAGAGTATTTTTCATATTTAGAAAGAAATGTTTTAAAATACTTGTTTCTAAAATAATAATACAAAACTTAGTTTTCAAAACCATAAATATGGCCCCGTTTGGCATTAGCGTTAGCGTTTTGAAAAGGCTATCCGGCGGTAGTCTTTAGAGTTAGCGTATTCGGATTTAATCTACACCATTAAAATCTTATCCAAAACGCTAATGCTAATCGAAAACGTTATTTCTAAACAAAGTCTATGTTATACTTAAAAAGACTTACTTTTAAACTTTAAGATGGTATAATATATACAAGGGTGAGTTTAAGACAATATTGATAGAGGTAAAAGAAATATTAGCGTTTAAGATTTTATAATATGCATATAGAATGTATTTTTTAAAAAGCATCTATGTTTCTAATATTTGGTTATTTTAATGCTGATTATTTAGTTTTCACAAAGATTCAAAAATTAGTGATATTGAAAAGATGTTTAATACTCCCTCGGTCCCAAAAAGATTTACACGTTTCAAAAAAATTGCGTCCCACAATCCCTTACCCATTTATATTAAAAACCACTTTTACCCCTTACTTTTTAAACCTTACCTATCACATCATACCTTTTTCTAATAATCTACACATCACATCATACTTTTACCCATCACATATATCAATGAATAGCTGATTTTCTTATTTTACTTTTTTTATGTATGTATGAATTCTAATACTCTAAAACAATTAAATTTTTTAATAATTTTAAGTTTAATTTAAATCAAATTTAAATTCATTTACACAAGATCTAATTAGATAAAATCAGATCCAATCAGATCAGATCAGATCCGATCCAATCAGACCCAATCAAATCAGATCAGAACTCCAAAAATTCAGATCAGATTCAATCAGATCAGATGTACAAAACAGACCCTTAAATCCACCCCATTTATAAGAAATGACCTTTCACATCTTTTTTTCTCTTTTTTAAACATTAAGAGTAAATTTATCTATTTCATATAGAAGGGGTGGATATAGCCAAATGAGGAATCAATTTAGCAATAACCTTTTCAAAATCATGTCCTTAATATGAAATATTCCTAGGATTATTCAACATTTTTTTCTTTTTATGTTTTTTGTGTGTAAACTTTTTATTTCAAGACTAAATTCTATAAATGGTCTCCAATTATAAATATTTTTCCATATTTATTCCTCAATTATAAGATATTCCATAAACAGTCCTCAATTTTTTAAAACTATTCCACAAATAGTCCTTTTTACCAAATATGACAAAATATTTTGAATACATTTTAAAAATGATCCTTACTAGTAAGATTTTTTCTAAAAATAATCCTCAATAAACAAAAATTACTAACATGATCCTTTATTGATTCTTAAATAGTCCTTTATCAAAAATGCATATTAAATGATTGTTAAATAGATGATATTTTGATGTTCTTTAAAAAAAATCATTAAAGATTTATTCATAGCTTAGATAATAAAGAACATCAAAATACCCTTTACTTAACTGTCATTTAATAGACATTTTTTATAAAAATATATTTAAGAAACACATCTCAATTATAAAGAACTATGTTAGTAATTTTTGCTTATTGAGGATTAATTTTTTTTAAAAAAACCTTATTGAAAAGGACCATTTTAAAAATTTACTGAAAATGTTATCATATTTGGTGAAAAGGATTATTGTGGACTATTTATAGAATATCTTATAACTAGAGACTAAATATGGAGAATTATATATAATTAGAAACCATGTATGGAATTTACTCTTATTTCAAATATATTTATATTATTGTTTTATATATGTTTGCCAGTGTTAACTTTTTTCGGTTAAGCATGATCAACATTTCATCTATAATTAAAAATAACTACTCGTACAAAAACAGTATTCATTAGAAAGATTGATATTTTAAAAAACAAGCTAATGAAATTACTTTTTTATCAATACCAAATATCAATTTTATTTAACTAATGGCGAAAATTTGAAAATTTTGACGGTAAAAAATCAAAATATGGATAAATACTATGAAATAGTAGTAATAATTTCTTAAACGCAAGTGCTAGATCATTTTAAAAACTAGACCCATACCCGTGTGTTGCACGGCCCAATTACAAACTATATAATTAGGAAAAGCATTGATAAAAGAAAATGATAAAATTAAATAATAATAATAATAACATATAATCAAATAATAAAGAAATTGTAAATACTATATATGTTCATCATGAAAGTGGTTTGACATATTATACACGTTCCTCCTCTTGCCCAAGTCGGAACAAAGTAGACACGAACAGCTCGTAGCATTAGTATCCAAGTGGTTCGACAATTGTCAATCTCGGCAAACGCATTCCACATACTATTTGAATGTTACGAGACATTTTTTTTGAAAGAACGTCGAATTGAGATGAGAAGTATGAAGTATAAGCAGTATATATAATTGGATAATCAATATCTCATTAAATATCTTGATTTAGTGAATCCATTCCTTTAATATGGTTTGACATAAAGTATGCATGGAGTCACGCACGAACTTTACTATGCACACGGTTCCATAACAATACAGTACCCATTTATTTATTTTGAGTTGACATAAATTTACATCGAATCACGCACCAACTTTACTATGCACGCGGTTCCATACCAATACACTTTCCATTTATTTATTTTGATTTGACATAAAATTTGCATCGAGTCACGCACCAACATTACAATGCTCGCAATTTCATATCAATACACTACCTATTTATTTATCTTTATTTGACATAAAGTTTACATCGAGCCACGCACCAACATAACTACACACACGATTCCATATCAATACACTACGCCTTTATTTATTTCGATTTAACATAAAGTTTGGAAAATGAAGTTATTAATCCATCCATTAAATGCTTGAAAATTGGAAAAGTATAAATTAAATGGATTTGACATAAAACACACTAAGCAATGTGATAGATTTGACACTACTTTTACTTTATGGAGAAATGCACCTATGATTTGACCTGAAGATGTCCAAGCTAGCAACCGCGTTGGTCAGCCCACTTGGCCCGGTCCATAGCCGAACTCACTATCCGTCAGTCTGCCCACTTCACCCGGTCCATACTCAAACTCACTACCCAATGGTTTTGGCAGGAACACTGTTCCCAAAACCATCCTAGCATTGTATATAATAGGATAAAGCTTATATCCATTGAGTCGACTCAAACCCGATGACACTAGGCCATGAACATGCAATTTCAATCCCAAACTTACCCGAACACGAATGATTTGTCTGTCCTAGAAAGAAAACTTATTTTCAGTTAGAATTGCAATTAGTACTCCGTACAATTTTAGCCCTAACCTTTCAAACACTGCAAACTGGAATTCCTCCATTCTTCCCTCAGGGAAAAGAGTCGTAAATCTTTTCAGCGGTTTCATATGAAATCACATTCTTACATTAAAACTGAAAAATAAACCTCAACGTGTTTCCCAATCCTTCATCTTCTTCCCCTTGGGCTTTTTGATAGGCGCATTTGCTGCAGCCATCTTTGCGTTATACTTTGCCCGAAGTGTATCCTTGCTCGACCACCTTTACCAAATAGAGCTATATCATGTTAATTCAATATAACATGCTCAATGTAAAATGTGACATGAAAAGAGCAAGGAATAACTCCCCAAACACATACATAGGGGTCCAGAATCAAGTCTCTCTAAGCACATGCACATCAGCATAATAATAAATTTGCGGGATAGAATGAAGTTTTATGGATGTTTATGTAAAAAAAATTAAAACAGACAATCATCAAATGATCAAAGAAACTGATTGCGTGAGAATCACAACATACAAACCTAAATGGTTGAGATATTTAAGAATGATCCTCTCATCTACACCAATAAGTCTACCCAACACATACCTTAATCGCGTCCTATGTGAGGTCAAATATATATAGTACTAACTTTCCCATTTCCCCTTTCAATTTAATGCGCTAGTAGAAAACCCTTCTCACTAGGCAGCTTTGGACCTTCTTCGGTTATTTTTTTTATCGCCATCCATAAAGTTTTTACCATCTCCATTGATAAAATATGATCTATTCTAATTTCTCAAACAACAAACTTTACTTTTCTAGTGAAGCAGCTAACGGGCAGAGAGTTCCTACACTCAAAATATGCACTTGTATAACAAATGTCCATAAACAATTGATTGACTGATTGTATATCAGCAAAAAAGGTGGTGCTAACGTGAATAGCGGCAGCAGAAGTTTCACCACATCCAAGAGGACTATTCCTTACATGGCATGGAAATGGCAAAACTGCTCCTTGGCACTCCAGAAATACAACATACTAATAGAATCATTAATCATCTTAGTACAAACACTTTCATCCTTTGTTTTTTTTGCATGCATAAAAATGTAGGCATTGTTTAGTTCCCAATTAATCAATTAAAAAAGCACTCCAGAAATACAAAACTGCTCCTTGGCACTCCAGAAATACAACATACTAATAGAATCATTAATCATCTTGGTACAAACACTTTCATCCTTTGATTTTTTTTGCATGCATAAAAATGTAGACATTGTTTAGTTCCCAATTAATCAATTAAAAAAGCACATGGCAAAAGAAACTGCTCAAAGACTCAACAATCAGTCTATCACACTTATATCTAGCCTTATCTTGATCAGCCATCACTCTAAACATTCAATCTCAAGATTTCGATTTAAAAGGCTATGGTTGAAATCCATTAGAACTCAATAAAAAAGACAGCAGCTTCAAAAACATTTTACACATATGCATCCAACCTCATGTATCCAATTAAAAAGGCTATGATGGAAATCCAAAAAAACTCAACAGAAACAATAGACAAACCTCAAAAACATTTACAGAGTACTATGCATTTCATAAATGATAAAGACTGTAGCTACCAGAATAGATTATTACACAGAGAACATTAGGCATAATGAATCAATAGAATATTTTGATAGAACTTTTCAACTCTATTGTGCTGAAAAGAAAATGAACTATGCATACCGCTCAGGCATAACTATAGAAATTGGTAAATGAAATGTGCACATAACTTGAGCTATAGTTAATGATAACTTCACGTGAAAATTACCAGTGAAATCACTACTTCCAAATACTTAATCTTAAATGAATTTAAATTTTGCATCACGAGTAGTTTATATGACAAGTTATAAACTTAAAAGAGAAGTAAAATGCACATATCAATTAGTACGAAGTTACTGGTAATATAAGCATTGAGCATCTGAAATGAAAACAAACACTTACGGGACAGTCCAGTCAGTTGTGTCTTCATTAACTAGATGTGTCCATTTAGTCCTTCCACTACGACCGAAGTCCTTAACCTGCATGATTTTGGGTAGTATTGTCTTATTGAGCTTATCTTCTCCAGTTGGTGCGGAGAAATCACGGCTGAAGATATCATCTCTGCCAGCAGTTCCAGCTCTGTCATCAGGATTTGCCTGGAAGAATGCACCTTTGTGGTAGTATTTCTGCATGAACTTCATCTTTGGCTTGGGGTGAGCACCAGGTTTTGGATTCCTCCTCTCATACTCCCTCTTCTCTTCCTCAGTCATGTTCCTGAACCTCTCTATTTCTTCCTTCTCCTTCAAAATAGCGTCCCTGTCATCTCTCTCTCTCTTAATCCTAGCAATCTCTCGGGCTTTCCAGGCTTCATACTCTTCTGCTTCATTCAACTCATCATCAGTGTCCACATCAGCAACATTAGCCTCCGATTCCAAATTCTTCTGAATCTCCTGCTCCTCTCGAATCTTCTCAATAACAATTTTCTTTGTCTCGACTTTCCTCTCTTCCAATCTCTTCCTCCTAGAATCTTCAAAAGCGAGTTCTTCAGCCTCGAGCCTCTCACGTTCGGCTATGGTATCCCTCTCAGCCTTGGGAACAAAAACAGGTTTTACCATTGCTATCACAGTCGTCTCCTCATCGGATTCAGTCTCATACTCCGATTCTTCTTCTTCCTCCGATTCTTCTGCCTCCTCTTCCTCTTCCTGTGGGAGAGCCTCTTCTTGCTGCCTTTGAAGCAACTTTTCTCTAATTCTCCTCCTCTTCTCCTCCAGGGCATCCTCATTCTCCTCCTCCTCGTTGATCCTTTCCTGCCTTCTCGTTTCCTCTTCAATAGTCGAAACAATCTCTGCCTGACGGATGCGTCGATGATCAGCCCTCACTTCCTCATCTATCTTACTCTCTGCCAATCTACGCAACCTTGGATCATCCTTTCTTCCGGCATCGGATCCATCGTGTCTAGGGAATGTTTTCTCTAGGGCAGCAGCCCTGGACATCCTAATTCCTTCATCTTCCTCTCCTTCCTCTGCCCACTCCGGGGCTTTGCCAGGCCAATACCTTTTCACTTTTGTCTGGCCAATCTTACCCTTAAGTTTCTCCCTAACAGCTATCACCGTATCACTCACGCCTGCTGTTACAGACATCTCTCTCCCTCCCTCCCTCCCTCTCTCTCTCTCTCTCTCTCTAATCAGATGTATATCCCTAAAACGCTCAAATCTGAAACAATAAATCTGATCAGTGATGGGTTGTGGTGCCGCAGCGAGTTTTGGGATTACTCCTTATTATTTACCGTATTTACTTTGACTGATAGTGGAGGGGACGAGAAAAGCTCTATACGACATGGCAGCTGTGAGCCGCAGAGCCGGTGCCGAATGCCGGGAAGTGAGATCAGCGGCGCCTACGTTCTGCTCAATGTAAACTAGGGCTTAGGATTACTCCTTATATTAGCCTCCCTTTTACTCCTTATATTAGCCTCCCTTTGGACTTTATATACTCCGTAGAAAAGTAGGGGTGAACCGTATTTGGTTGGTATGAATCCTTTAATATAATATTTGAGAGTTGATAGTCTAGAATGATGACACGTGTCAATTTTAGAGCTTTATTATTGAGACACATCAGATTACACGCGTCCTATTCTATTCTCAGACCGTTCTAGGCTACAGACTTTTGGATCTAAGAAAATCCCGTCCTCTTCTAATCTCCACGCGCAGAAACTTTAATCGCATCAACCCACCCATCGCGGCTGATTCTTTTCCAAAAATATCACGGATTTTTCGTGTGATCTCTTCGCCGAAGGAAAGGAATTGTATAGCTACTCTATCAATGAAGGAAAGTCTCCAATTTTGTGAAAAAAGGTATTTCGGATCTAAATTTTTTGAAGCGTCAAAACGAGGTATGTTTCAAGAATCGAGAGGAATTAATTTTACATCGGTTAGAATGGTACCGATTAGAATTATACCGAATTAATTCTTTAATCTTTGTTCAAGCTCGGTTAGAATGGTACCGAGAATTCCAAACCTCCATGCCTTGAAGCTGAAATTGGAGCAGAAAACTGTTCATGTGCACTGCACAAATGATATGCTTTTGCTCTCAATGCAGAAGCTGATTGGTTTCTCTTTGCAGTATTTGTGTTAGGAGTAATATTTTTTGGTGTGTTATTTCCCATATATTATTGCAACGATATGTTTGAGTACATTGATTCTGCTGATAAACGGACATGTAAGTCGAAAAATCATTGTGCATCTTATAATATTGTAGCTGTAAGCAATTTGTATTTTTTCAAACCTGTGCTATTATTTTATCTTTTGCTTCGTTCCTCTTATAGACCTGTGTATATTCATTGTATTCTAGGTGTTTATTATATCCCGATGGGTTGTCGCTGATTCCATGCTGCGTTAGATCTTCAAGGAAGGAAAGAAATCCCTTTTAC